TCTTAAATTGGATATGATGTTTAAACTATTAAGAGAGAAATTGAATAATTAAAAGATATGTATATTATTCTCGATCATACACGTACTGTTATGATGGTTGTTACTGATGGATCATTACCATCTAATGTTGGTGGAGGTTCTAATATTAGAAATATTATCAGAAGAGTCTTTGCTGTCTTAAAAAAAAATAATTGGTGGGATAAATTAGGAATGGATGGATTATTATAATTATTTTAAGAACATAAAAATGATTTGGCTAAACTCTATGGACCATTTGGAGAATATAAGAGTTTTGATCAAATCATTAAATAAGAATATGAAAGATGGGCTAAAACTGATGATGATAAGAAGGTTAAATTAGAAAAGTTATTAAAATAAAAGAATAATTAATTAAGTATTGATGATTGGATCTTTGCTATGAGTACTCATGGTATACCTGCTGATACTATTAGTTAAATCAGTAAATTGCCTATCCCTGGTAATTTGTATGCTGAATTGGCAGATAGAGCAGCCAGAATTACTAAAGCACCTGAAGCTATTCTTTATAATACTGTTCATCTACCTGAAACAACCAATTTATATTATCAAACACCTAAGGATGGTAAATTTTAAGCCAAAATCGTTACAATCTTCAATAATGTCTAACAGTAGAATATTCCAAACATTGTAATTTTGAACTAATCTGCCTTTTATCCATTTGGTGGTGGTTAAGACTATGATTAAGGTTGGTTAACAATCTCAGGAGAAAGATATTCTGTTAACAATGTTTAAAAAGTGGGAAAGGTAGTTTTACATATATTAGAAAAACCCTTACCAAATGCTGTTGATACATATGTGGGTTAAGAAGTGTTAGCTGAAATAGATTTGGAAAGAAGATCAATATTGAGAAATCATCATACAGCTACTCATATTGTATTTGCAGCATGTAGAAGAGTACTTGGTCCTCATGTTTGGTAAAATGGTGCTCATAAAAGTGTGAATAATGCACATCTCGATATTACTCATTTTGCACCTTTGACAAAAGAATAAGAGTAAGCAATAGAGAATGAAGTTAATAAAATAATTTTATCTGCAAAATAAATTAATAAAGGATTTATGAATAAGGCAGATGCAGAAAAAGAATATGGATTCAGATTATATCAAGGTGGTATAGTACCAGGAAATGAGTTAAGAGTAGTGAACATAGATGGAGTAGATGTTGAAGCTTGTTGTGGTACCCATTGTGATAGCACATCAGAAGTGGGATGGGTGAGAATATTGAAAACTTAGAAATTGTAGGATGGTGTAGTTAGATTGTATTATGTAGCAGGAGTGAAAACTATAGAGGTTCTTAATTCTGAGGGAGAGATGATCAATTAATTAGTAAAGTTGTGGTCTATATCTAAAAATTAATTAGTTGAAGAGGGTAGCAAGATTTTCTAAGAGAAGAAGCATTTCGAATCAGCATATAATGTATGATAGGATAATAATATAATAATAGTAAATAAAGGCAGAGTTGATAAAGTCATAAATGAAATATGTTATTGATGGTCCAAATTAGAGAACAGTGATAAATTCAAATGAACCAAATCCCACTGCTTATTTCAGTGAGATTGGAAAGTATATTTAATAACTGAAGGACTCAAAGAAGGGGTTGTTATTTGTTGCAGAGACTTTCATTTATGGTGCATTTGGAGAATCTAATTTCAATGTAGAAGAGTTAAGTAAATAAATAGAAGAGGAAGGATAATAATTGAAAGTAAATAAATAGAATAAGATCAGTGTTAAAGATGGGAAGGTATGATATGTTATTTGATATTGTAGAAAACTACTCAAGTGAATGATGTTTTAACATTTTCAATTTTAGGGAAGTTCAACAAGAACAAAGCATTAAAATATCTAAAGGAGCAAGGTTTTGCTTAATTTTGAGATAATAATATATTACAAAAGATAAATATAATCTAACATAATTTTCAATAAATTTGTAAGATGTTAAAAATGACTCATTATTTTTGGAAAGTAAAGATATGCAAATGCGAAAGTGCTTTCTTCATCCTCAATAGGAAATAAAATTCATAGTGTTGAATGCTCAATGTTAACATTTCACTCGATTAGTATGTTCATAATGTATAGATGAATTCTAATTGGATTATCAAAGACATGGAGTTTAAGAATTAACAAAGGTATGTTTCAAATTTATTTAGATTGAATAATAATTGTGCAAAATATTCTTTCCTTTAGTAAAGGATGAAAATGTGAAACAAATGATATTCGATTTCTATTAGACTGAATTCTTTACTATATCTGATTAATATTAGAAACTAAGAGAAATTTGTTAGAATAGTATAGATTTAATAGGTGCTTTGGTTATTAAACTTGATGCTTTGATTTAGTAAGTCAAAGTTAAGTAAATAGTTTTTGTTTAACAAGTATTAAAATATATTTGATGTGTAGACTTTTTAATTCAATAAGATTAAAGATTTGTTTGTTGATTTACATTAAGCTAAATCTAAAGATATCTAATCAATTATTCAATAGAAAGTGACTGATTATTTTAGATATATAAGAAGATTAACACCTGAGTAGGTTCATACATAGATTTAACAATAAAAACAAGAGAATTCCTCAGATATAGAATCACTGTAAGTAGATGATATGATTACATCTTACTAAGCAATAATAACAGCGATGAGAGATTTAGAGATACGTAAGGTTTCAAAAGTGGCTAAACCAATTTCACAATAAGGTTGTGGTTCTCTTTTATAGACATTAGAGTAGATTATTAGTAAGAAACATAATGAGTAACTTAAGGCTGAGTTGGTTTATAATCATAAGGAAGATTATGAAAAGGTTTAGCTATGGAGTAAATTATCAGGATAATCAAATACTCTTGTTATTTGTAAACAGAAGAATTCATAATACTTTGGTGGTTATACTCCATCTTAATGGTAGTATGGATTTCCTGGTAAAGATCCGCATCTTATTACATTTTTATTTTAATGTCATGGATAAGAATTGAGAATACATACTATCAATAGAGAACTTAAATAAAGAGCAATAAATTGTGCAGTTAAACATATGGAATTTGGATAAAAGAATTTAGTTATAGCTACAGATTTTTCAAGAGTAGAAATGAAGATATTTCCAGGATTTTCTGAATAATCAGATAAGTATCATGTTTGTTAAACAGTATCAGATGAATAAGATGTATTTAAAGTATATGTTTTAAAAAAAATCTTTTGATTAAATTATTTCTTGGTTGTCTTATTAAAACAAACTCATTTATTTAATGCTGGTAATTGGACTTTCTACTTTTTGCTATAATCTGTTTTTTCAGCTGTATTGAGATCCAATGACATAATTTTCAATGCCATAGATCTTTCATAATTATCCTAAACTTAACCTGGATTTGGACGAGTCAATAAATTATTTAAACTTAATATAGTGATATAAATATTTACGTGCTTTTAGACCATTTTTCTTAATAAGTGGTTGTCCAATGTTAAGATGTCGCTAGATCAGATTATCTCATCTGAATATATATATAATTAGTTTATTACTTTGAGTTCATAATCAGTTTAATTTAATCGATTAATGAAGGATTATTCATATTTATATTTTAGATCTCTGTTTTGTATATTGATTTTAATGAATCCAAAGTCAATATTTAAATTATGTCCTAATCTGGTTAAATCATGTATTGCTTTAATTAATGAATTGTGTATAGATTGTACAACATCTTTGCCTAAATAACTGATATGAAAATGATTATTATTATTCTTACCAAGATGCAGCAATAGGTCCAGGATTGCAAAAGTTCATTCCGAATCCTTTTTGATAAATGGAATGTTAACTGAGAGGTTTAGTAATTTCCTCTTTTCCAGGATAACGAGCCAAGAAATATTGAAATGAACAGTCAGGAACAAAACATGGTCTATATTATATTATAAGAATAGAAACATACCTAATTTAATGTATGTGTTTTCTCTCTGCTCTTTATATTCCTAAATCTTGAGTCATGTTAAATCCAGAGTGTTAGAGTGGTTTAACATAATCTGAATTAACTTCCATCGTAAATGCTCCTAATTCTTTCATATTGACACCCTTAAAGTAATCTAATTTTAATTGTACATTTCCATTAACCATTTTCTCTTTGATATACTCTGCAGTAGCTTTGATTACAATGTGAAATTAAGCTTTAGCTTCAAGTGGTTTATATGAAGGAATAGTTCTTGGTTATGATTCTTGGTGTTTACCTGGATAGTTTTGACTATGTCCAAGTATCCTGTAATTGTAATAGCTTATAAATACCAATTGTATATATCATCAAGGTTCATGAAACTGATTTTCTGTATTTATTAAATTATTAATAATATTCATAAAAAATAATCTGGTACTCTTTTTGGAACTGACTCATTTTCTGATCTTGGAGCAGGATCAAATTGTATACTATATAGGTTATTATTAAGAATAATATACAATGTTTATCTTAGATTTTCATCAACTTCCATTATTCCTGCTTAATTACCACATCTGTAACAGTAATTTGGAGCAGAGAATATTGTTACAACATTTCTATCATGTGCAAGTGAATAACCCTATATAGATATATAATCATCTACATCCATAACTAATTGATGTGCTCTAGCAATCATTTTTAATTTATTATTATGATTGAATTATTCAGAAATATCTTATCCAAAAGTGTATCCAGCACCTCTTTGAGATATTCCCCAACCAGATCTATCATCAGGATCACTCCATAACAAATCACACATAGGTCCTTCATGGGGTGTTTCTTATACTCTATCTAACTATCGGATATGATCCAGAGTATCAATAGATGGCGATATACCACCATGTAAACAAAAAAACTTAATTTATATTTAAAATTAATACTTAAGATTCAACTACTGCTGTCAAAGGTAGGTAATCAAATAATTCTGTGAAACATTTCCATACATTACTATTTCCATATTTTCTTGAACATTCATCATAAAAACCATAAACTTATGTTATTGATCTTGATTCATGATTCCCTCTTAATATTGTTATTCTATCTCGATGTCGAATCTTATATTATTCAATCCTTTACTTTCAATAACACTAAAAGGGTTATACACTCTACTGAATGATGTCCTCTATCTACATAATCACCCATGAATAGATAATTTGTATCCTTAATTCATATCAATTTATTTTACTGGTGCCTTTCCACCTATTTTAAATAATTCCATTAAATCATGAAATTGACCATGTATATCACCACATATTATCACTGGAGCTCGAACTGGTTATACATTTGATTCTTATATTAAAATTTCTTTTGCCTATTAAATCAAATTAATTTATTAAAAACCTTTTCACATAATAATTTCACATCCTATTCAGGAAGAGGTTTGCATTAATATAAATGTTATATCTAATGATCAATGTTATTTGCCTCTGGCATTGTTAATTTAGAAGCCATTTTAATTTTATTTTTTAATCAACTGGAGAATATTTTACTATGTTTCACTATTTATAAAAGAAATTTTATATTTATCTTCAGAATTACCCAGAGTCATTTATAATTAATAATAAAATATCTACTTTTAATGTAATTCTAATACATTAATATCTAAAAATAGATATTCTTTCTACAATTTATTTTATTACTCCGCTTCTACTATATCATAATTAAATGAAAAACACTTTTCTTTTCATTTTAATCTAAATATCTTAGTTAATGATAATAGACCAAAATAAATAAATATTCATAGGAATAATTACAAAATAAACTAATGTCGAATATGACATAAATTTTATAAGAAACATTTAAAAATGATGCAATATTGAAAAGTATACAAAAATACTTTAAATTATATTATTTATGAAATTAATCATTAAAATTCTTTATGATAATTTCAATAAGTGGAGTGATTTAAACAATTTTAGATTTGCCAGTTTTTGGATTAATGTAAAAACAAACAAAAATTATCATTCCCTTATGATGAGTGATTATTTAAAGAAGAAACCAGATTTTTAATATGTGTAATCAATTAAAAGAGATTTGAGTAATTCCAAGTATTATAATGTCTTAGAAACAATTAAAGTAATAATTACTTAAGATTATAGATTACATCATAATGCAAGAACTTTGAAAAATTCTGGTCATTTCTCATTATAATTAATTCCTGCTAATAGATATTACTTTGGAGATTTTAAAGCTTATACAATCTTCTCATAGAAAATAATCCAACTTCACCTTTATTCTATTTATAATAGCATAGTAATATTTAAAAAAAGTTCTTTTCTAGGATGAAATAGATGGTTTCTTATGATTGAAAGCTTTATCTTAAGTCTCATAATTTTAATAGAATTTTCCGTCTATTTTAAAATCTATTCTAAATCACCAAATATACAGATTTCTATATTCAAAGAAGCAATACAATAATTTGAGAAATAGAGAAATAAAGTTAATTGATACCTTTGAATCAAAGACAAAAGAATTAAAATATTGGATCTTAGGATATATTTAAAGGAAAATTAATATTTATGAGAACTAGGAAGGATTAATTATCTTTATACATAATTTGTAATAATAATGTAGAAATGCATTTTTTAAATAGAGTTATTGAATCATTTGTAATAAATATGAGCTAACTCATTCTGATATTATTAGACTATGAAGTAAGAAGGGTATTTGATTATGCTAATTAAATACCTACTTTGAAAATTTAATAGTAAAGTATTTATTTATAAAGATAATTTATAGGTTTTAAGAAAAAAATATAATTTATTGTTAACAAGAACCCACTTTAATTTACAGATTATCAAAGTTAAGATTGCAAATAATTGGGGAAAAGAGATCAATATAAATGGTACTGATAATTGTAGAAATTAAAGGAATTTGTTGAAGGTAGATTAAAATTAAAGATATGGATTTAATCAAAAAATTTGAAAATGGGTTAGTTAAGTAGTTAATATAATCAAAACAATTTAATTTTATAATATAATATCTCATACAAATAGTTAATCTTCACTCTAGTAAAGGAATTATAAATCAATACAAAAAAAATAGAAATAAGTCCTTTTAAGGATGAATTTCAATTAACAAGGAAAAACATATAATGTGTGGATTTAAAGTTAATTAAAGTTTTGAATTATGGAAATTAAGAGAACAACACATATTTTAAAAATAAAAATGATAATCAAATCATTAAAGCTATTTATGTATTTATGAATTATAAATTTATTCTATTTTAGTATTAGTATACATTTTAATATTTCCATTTAATAAAAAAATTAATAATCAATAAAAAAAGATGTAAATATAATATTAAAATCTTCTTGAAAATTATTAAAAGTAAATGTGAAGTTAGTTTGATAAATGTATATAAAAATTAAGTATGATGTATAAAATTAGAATAATAAGAAAAGGCTAAAAAATTGAAAATTAGTTATAATTAATTTATTGAGAAGTGAATATTTTTCAATAACATTGTTTTTTCTTCTAATATAAATCAGGTTATCTTTCTTTCTTTAATACATGGACATCATTGATTCTTAATTGATTCTAACTGGTTGGTTTTTAAGAGATACAATTTTATAAATTTATACAGCTACATGTATTTCATAATAACTTCAACCAATCCTATATCATATTAAATATTTATTTTGTAATCTGTTAAATAAACTAGTTTTATCAACTCTTTAATCACTTAATCATTATATTTACATCATAACAATCAATTTTATTTTGAACAAATAACTAAATTCATCATTTATTATATAATATTTATTATTATTATCATATAATTATACATTTCATATACTTTCATTATTTCTTCCAAAACATATTCAAACCAAATCTTGTCTATTACTATGTCTCTTATTATTATTTCTATTAAACTTCTTATGCTTTCTAAGTCCATGCATTTATTTAATCTTTTGTGCTCTACTTCTATTGTTAAATTATTGTATAATAATGAAAATGTTATTCCAATTATTAATCTATACCTTCTATATTTAATTATGTCCTCTTTAATTACTTATTATTAAATTTGCCTTTTTTAAATAGATTTTGATAATATTCCTAAGCCTTCTCTGGATGAATTACTGTTGCCAAATTTCTATACTCAATTGAAAATTAAATATCAACCTTTTATAACATCAATTTTATTATTTATGATATTGTCTCTCTCTTCATCTCCTTATTTTATTATTCATATATTGAAAATAACAATTAATCTATTTCCTTTAAATCCCATTCATTATTCTACTCACAATATAAATCCAATTCATATTTCTCCAATTATCCATTCCAATAATATATTAAAACATTGTAATAATAACAAACCAAAAATTAATCTTTATTCTATTAAAATATATTGTTTAATATTTATGAATAATCTTTAACCATCTTTTAAATATTCTCCACACATTCTTAATACTTATAATCGATTTCTTAATGTGGCAATCTCTCAAATATCTCAATAATATTTCTTAATTCTTTTATTTTGTTTTAGTAAACTAAATAAATTTCTGAAAATTCATTCTCTTTATAAATTTATTTCTTTTAAATTAGCTCAAATAATTATTAAAAACTATTATTCAATTATTCATCAAACCAATCCTTCCAAATAATAATAGTCTTATTTTTCAATTCTTGAGGAATTAATTATTATTCTTACTAAATTGATTAAAAAAGTTCATGATTAAATGTACCTGATAAAATAATATTTTATGTTAATTTTTCTAGCATTTAATTTTAAATAGTTTTTGTATAAGTTAATACATTTTACTAGAATTTTTCAATTAATTATTAATCTATCTCAAAAATAGGTATTTAATTATGAATGAGAATATCATATATTTATTCAATTGTCAATTGAGTAAAATTTGATTTTAAAAGAATCAATTAATTGTAATTGTTAAATGAATGTATTTAATCCACTTTAGCAATTACAGCTTTGAAATTATCGCAATTCAAACTTCCAAATTCAATAAGTTTATTAAAGAATTGATTAAGATTATTTTAATGTGTCATAAGTGTATCAATAACATTATTAAGATTGTATTCTTATTCTATTTATTCTAATAAGATGATTGGATACAATAACTCTGAATCATTTAATTAATATTTTTTTTAAGCATAAAGTAATGCTATTTGTGAATTATAAGAACAACCTTTTTTTATAGATTACTTAACCTTTTTCATAAAATATTAAAAGGATTTAGATTTAACCTCTTGTTATTATAATTTGGTATTATTTTAATGCTATTCATTAATTTGCATCATGTTTTATTATGTTTTATTTGTAATAGTTCTAGTAACATATTAGAATTGATGTACATTATCTATTTAGTATAATCACTAATGCCATTGAGTAGATCAGCACAATTAAGAAGTTCATGATACTTGGAGCTAAAGAGATCCTTTAATTCTTTGTTCTTAGTAGTAATTTCTTTATGGACATTTTACTATTCTCGTTGAATTTCATGAATAGGCTTAGTAAATAATTATTCAACAACAATCATTATTTAAATTATTAGAATATTTAATCAAGTCTTCCAAATGTTTATGTGAGATCTTCAGGTTCATCTATATGACTATGCCAAATCAAGAATGGTTTCTTATCTTAAATTGCATATACTGCAATTTCTTCTGATTTACCGCCAATTGCATAATTATTACAACTTAATTCAGGAAAAAGGCTTTCTAAACTCTTTTTCAGTGCATCTGCTTTTTGTTTGAATATCTACTATGAACAGCAGTAGTTTATTTGAAATTATACACCCAATTTTTTTAGAGCGCTTTACTTTTTTCGAAAAACAATCTTATTTATGATTTCATTTTATTTTGACCTTCTTGAAATTTCATAAGCATCTCGCTTATAACCAGACAAGTTTAACCAATCATATACCATCGAAATCGCAATTACACTTTAACTCATATTAGGATGTACTTTTATATAATAATCCCATCTCTCTTTAGCAAAATATTCAAAAGGTAGTTTTGCATATTCTTACATTAATTGTTCTTCTGACATATTGTCTATTTTTTAATTCATAAATATAAAATACAAAATTTAAAAACAATCACTAAAATTTGTAAACACCTCCAAATTCTTATGAAAAAGTATTAGTTATCACTTAAACTTCCTCTTCAATAAATTATGGATCCTTATTAGTTAAATCATTAGATGATAACATTATTTATTCTAATAAATCCATTTCATTCATTTATTTTAGATATTTGTATTTCTAAGGATTTTTGTTGTAAGGTAAATCATTTTCCAATAACAATTCTGTATTTAATCCTAACTACTCTGTTATATACTTTTATCTTTTATATGAATATTCACTTTCTGTAGTGTCTTTACTTGCTAAAGAATAGAAGAAAGCCTATATATCATTATTAGTATTTTATTTTGGTCTCATAACTCTTCCTAAACGTTATACTTTCTATCTTCTTGACCCTCCTAAATATCCTATTTCTATTCCCACACTAGCAGATGGAATATCAATTCCTGTATCTCCAACTCTAGAAACAAAAATAGTTTTGATTTCATTTGAATTCTTAAAAATACTAAATATTTTATTTTTTTCATCAGTATTTAAGTCTCCATCTATAACTGGATATCCTAGTAATATTGCATAATAATTTAAAATTAGCAATGAATCACAAAATACAATAATCTTATGTCCTAACATTTCATGATTCTTGATTAAAAATTATAATGCTTTAAACTTACCTGGATTTCCAGTATGTAATAATTGTCTAACTGACATATTATTTTTAGTTTGATATTCTTTTTAGAATATTGGAGTCATGTCGCATTATATTTCAATAATATGTGGTTTTGCAAGAAATCCTTAAGTCATTAAATCAATTAAATTTTCTTCATATAATTTAGGTCCAATCATGAAATATAAATTATCTAATTTTTGATCTTCTCTTAAAAGAGTAGCAGTTAAACCAATCTTTATTGCACATTTAATTTATTTTAAAACATTTTAAAATTATACTGCAGGTAAACGATGTACTTCATCAACAAGACAGATACCCCAATTTGCTTCTGATATTTGATTCCAAACTGTTTTTGTACTTGATGAATTATTTCTAAATTATGCAATCAACCAAGAATAAGTTGTTAATATTATAACTGGTTACTCACCTTACCATTTATCTTTCGCAAATCCAGTAATACGAATAATTCTTCTATTATCAATTGTTGTATAAGTTTCAATTTCTCTTTTCCATTATTCTACAGAAACATTTGAATCACAAATTATTACTGTAGAACTTTTAATTAAAGTCATACATATAACTCCAACTAAAGTTTTACCTGCACCACATGGTAAAACAATAAGACCAGATTTTGCATAATCTCCCATTATTACATTTTTTGCTGCTCTTTATTAATATAATCTAGGTTTAGTAGATGGTTTCAAATTAATATCTAATTTCTATTATTCTTTTGTAAAATCATATTCTTAAATCAAAGGAACTGATGAACGAATTAAAGCCTATGCTAAATCAAAATAATCTCCTACTATTCTAAATCTTTTAAACTTAATAGTCTCAGTTTTCTCTTATGCCATCCAATCTTTAAATGTATCTATCTCTTTTGATAATTATTCTATATCAGCTTCTTTTAACTCTAATATTTAATTTTCTAAATTTTTCAATTATGGATTCGCTTAAATATTATGAACAATCTATTCCTCTTATATTATTTCCTATAAACTATTCTTGTCTTATAAATTCATCATAATTTTATCTAATACACTTTCTCCTATATCAACATAATAACTCTTATCTTATAAAAAAAACTTAGCTTATCCTATATTATTAGTATGATGACGAATAAAATTTTCCATCTTTTAAGGAACCCTATTTTTTGATAATAAATCTAATAGCTTTATAATGTCATCTGCTGAATATTATAATACCATCGCTGTATACATACTCATTTAAGTCAATCTTTATTAATTATTATCAATACACATATTCATGAATAAATTCTGATCTACTTATTGGTTCAGCTACACACATTAAAAATTCAAATGCAATATCATATAATGGATTGAATTTCTCTACAATTATTCCTAAATCAGGACTCAAAATTAATGGTTTATTTTATTAAACTATTTCTAAATCCCTATAATCCATTTCATCTTCTAATAACTATTTTTAAACTTCTATAACTTAAGTTTAATATTTTCTTTTCTTCACCTCAAATGACATTATTAAATTAATTATTTCATTTTTGAAGCGCTAAAATTTTAATTTATTATAATAAATTTTTATATTTAATCTTCAATAACCTTCAAAATACACATTAATATTTGTTTTTTTAATCTAATAAGCATAATATAATTATAATATAGTCAAAATACAACTTATATATACAGAAAATTTTAGATTATTATATCAAAATATAACAGAGATAACATATGATTCATTAATTCTATTATATCTGTAATCAAATATCAAAATTTATAAATGTATAAAGGTCAATTGTGTATTTAAATATAGAATGTTAGAAATATAAATTTTTTAAAATGTTAATAAAAAAATGATTAATGCAAATTATATATTTTTCATTTTTTTTTAAAAAAATTCTTTAAGAATGTTCCTTTCCAAATTTCAAACTTATTTTGTTTAACCTAAACAACAGGAGATGAGGGTTAAGGAACAATAATTTCTCCTTAAATTTTTATAAATCCTAAATTTAAGAGAATAGTAGCAAAATCTTTGTTTCCTATAAATTTTACTGAAAATAATTCATAAAATTGTACAATCATCTCACACATACAAAAATTAGTAATTTACTTTAAAATATATTATTGTTTACTTCAAAAGTTTGCATTTTTAAGAGATTCTCTTAACAATATTTTAACATACCAATAAGAAATGTATGAATGATAACTTCCCCTTCAAAAAGTAATATATCAAAAATCATTCTACTAATTTCCCAAGAAATTTCATTCATCAATAAGGATAAGTATTATTGTTAAAAACAAGCATTTAAATTAATATTCAAGTCTTAAAAATGTGCATATAACTTAGGTAATTCATTCTTAAATTTTAAATCTAAGACCTTAATCATTCTAGTTATTCCTGGAAATCCAGGAATAAATACAGATCTCCAATTTAATTCCACCATTATATATATAAATAAGTAGAAAACATTTTCATCTCTTAATGGATCTATTATTTCAACATCTAAAATATTTTATTTAAATATTAGAATATACCTTCTAAAAATTTCTCATCATTTGTTCTTAAATCATAACAAATTAATAGATTGGCAGCAATTATATTCATTCCAGATGTATAACCTAATTCAGGATCATAGTTTGCATATGCTATTAAAATTTTTCTTAAACTATTTTGATTTTCTTACTAAGTTTAATTTCATGCTTACTGAAGTCAAGAATTTGTTATTCTTTAATGCTCTTGGAATATCTAAATCAATTTTAGTTGAAAAATAATTGTTTTAACTCGAATACTTCTAAAATGAAGTATTTTTTTATTAAATTTGTTATTTAATTGAATCTATAGAACAAAACAATTACCAAATTTCCCTTCTTTCAATAAAAAATAGATTTTATGTTAATAATGTTACATGTATATCATGCATTTAATAACCATTTAATGATTTCTATTTAATTATTCTCTTCCAATCATTTTAGTCCAAAATTTTATAATCTCTACCACCTTATTGATGTTCTATTATTATGAAATCTGATATTTCCACTTAAATCAATTTATAATCAAATTATTCTTTTTATGTTAGTGGATGATCATCTTTTGATTTTTTAAGCTATTAACGATTATTTAACTTTATCTTGCTCTTAATTATATATTTTCTATAATATTACTTCATTATTTTTTAATGAACTTATTGATCTAATTGCTTATTTATTTCCAAATGATTGTTTTCTTATTAAATTTTGCCCTTAACAAGGATTCTTGTTTACTTTCTAAAATTTAATATAAATATCAACATCTATGATCTCAAAGACATCTGAACCGAATGCAACTTGATTTTCTAATGTTGAATTCTAAGACTCCTACATTTAACTTTTGTAAATTATTTAATAAAATGAGTATTACATAAATTCATTTTCTACTTGTTTCTTTTAATAACTTAATTAAAAATTCTATAGATTAATTTTAATTTTTTTTATCTCTTGGACTCTAAGACATTTGACAAACTTTAATCTTTAAAGGATTAATGTTATTTTTCTTATAAATATAATCCATCTGTTTTGAAAGGTCATTTAATTCAGAAACCTCAGGAAATGAACTTTTCTTCATAGCAAATAGAATCTAATTCTATTAATATAATTGATTGCTTAATTGCTCATTTAGTTTTTTTATATTTAATTAATCTTTTAAATTAATCTCTTCACTATCAGTGATCATTCTTTTTTTCATTAAAGGTATTTCTGATTTTTGAAGAATTTAACTTATTCTTTCCTATGAATAATTTGCTTTGCTTATAGTCTTGAGCTTCTATGTTATTTATGGAAGTTTATTATAAGATGCTTTAATATTTGATTAATTCAACACATTATCATTTTAAAATTATGTAATGCGACGACTTGTCAAACTTTATTAACAAAAATCGTTAAAAATTGTTCTTTTAACTAACTTAGAAAATTATTGTTAATTAGGACTTTTCTTCTCTAACTCATCATTTTTATTCAAAAATTTTTAATTCTAAATTTTGTATAAGATACTCTCTAATTTGTTAGATTGAATTCTTAGAGATTTTGGATTTTAGCTCTATTTCGTATCAAACATTTTAGACATTATTTATTAAATTATGTCCAAAATTAATAAAAACAAAAAGGTTCTTAAACTTTATTTGTTTTCTAATAAAACAGAACAATTGAATAATTAATTTAATTCAATGCACAAAAAAAATACTATTTTTCTTAGTTTCTAAATTTTTATGAAAATAACCTTAAATTTGATAGAGATTTTAAATTGAGATATTACTTGTAAGAAAAATTTATATTAAAATGTTAACATATACATACATTATAACTACTACATAATTCAATTAAACTAATATTGAAAGATAACCTTAAATGAAAGTGAACTTTATTAAGGCATTCAAATAAATATTTAATTTATTTAAATATTAGGTTATAAAGATTTTTTTTGAAAGGAACTTATGTTTAAGCTATGAAATCATTAAATTTTAAGGCATTTAAAAAATTAGAATGCTTATTTCATGCAGGATGCATTGATTTATCGAAATTTTTATGAAATGTTAAAATTTAATTTTTTTATTTAAAGTTAAATTTCTTCATAGAAAATTCAATCTTTGAGTTACGATAATATAATGACTGCTAATACAAATATCTGCTAATTATTCTATCAAT